TGGGACGTCGAGCTCCTTTTCAGCACGTAGCTTTACTCCAGCCACGTGTCAGGTGGACTCGGCACTCCCTCACCTGTACTTGAGGGGGAACATGAGAGCAAGCAGGGCCCGGCAGGCATCTGTGAGTCTCTGGTAACTGCTGGAGAGAAACAGGATCTTGTGTTCGGTGAGTGCAGCACAGAAGAGACACAGCACGTTGGTGATCCCTGGGGAGAGAAGGGGCAGAGCATACAGCGCTTGCAGGTGGATTCTTCCCAAGTACAGCACCAGAGTCCTGCTAGAGCCCCACGAGTGCCTGCTCTCTCACCCCACCAAACAGGCTGCCAAGAGTCTCCCCCACATCCCCACCCCTTGTTGCCCCTTCCTCCTGCTGCATGGGGATGGGACTTCCTCTTCCAATCACTGGACAGCAAGTGTGTCAGTCGTCTACTAGAAACCTCCTGTCACCTCTGGATCAGTGCTAGGACCTGCTAACTCACGGACCGTTTCTGAGCTTAGGGCCAGCCAGACTGCTCTGAAAGTCCCTTGGGGACTCCCCTGGAGCTCTGCACACCCCCTTGTCTGGCATCTTTGGCAGCTGATGCAGTGAGAGCAGCTGGAGCACAAATCCCTGCACAGAATGGCCTGCAGCTGCTCAGACCCAGCCTGCCTTCTCCTGCTGCCCCTGCCTAGGTGCTCAGTCAGTGCCCATTAACACGGCATCTGAATGGACCCACAGTTTGGGGCCACAACCAGAGCCCAACTGCCAGGCTCCCCCTCACTTCCTGAGAGAAGGAAGGCAGTGTGAGTTGGAGAGATTCGGTCGGATGTGGGGGTGGGGGGGATGGAGCACTGAGCTGATAAGCTGAGGTCAGGAGCATGGCATCGGGGGCAGGACGAGGAATTCACTGCAGAGGGCACTGACTGACGGTATTCAGCACCTGTCCCTATGAGCAGGTGAGGCCGGGGCGGAGTCTCACCGAGCTGCCGGAAGAGCACTGCTACGCTGCAGCTGCTGACGGGGAGAGAGTCATTGATGGGCGTCTGGATCACCTGCCTGTCGCCTGCCCCTAGAGAGATCGTCCGCTGCAAGAAACAGACACACACCAGTCACTGGGATTCGGGCCGAGTAACCGACGAGTGCAGGCATCACGGGGAGCCAGCTCCCACCTACCACCTCAGAGCGGAAGGCCAAACTCGAGAAGCAGCTGGGCTCACCCAGTGACGGACAGGACAGGACGCAGGGGCCAAAGGGACGTCGTCCAGCTTTATACCCTGTGGGGTGGCACAGGGCCGCCCACCATAGCTACTGCGTCTTTCCCAGCTGCAGTGTGAGCGTGACTCTGCCCTGCAAGGGGAAGGGCACCCTGCGGTGGGGCCGATATGTAGGTACTGCCTGACTCAGTGCTGCCCCAGTGAGGGAGAGCCACTGGCCAGCTGCAGAGGGGAACCACCCCCAAGACAGCTACGGCTGTACTTCGCACTCAGCCTTTTGGATGGAGTTCATTCCACTGGGATTTGGAACATGCCCAGAAGCACATGCAATGTCGCAGCGACTGGGGTAGCCAGTACAGCAGCGCCCGGCCCTGTCACCAGAAACACACAAGCTCTCATTGCAGGTACAGTGTCTTACGCAAGGAAGAGGGGAGCACCAGCTGCCCCGGACTGGTCTGAGGGACGAAGGCTGGATGGATCAGCATAGCCTCCCCCTTTTGCAACCATTTATTTTAAACCTGTATTGAGCTCTTCGCCTGCCCCAGAGCCTGGAGTCCCACCCACCCCTGGGCTCCTGGCCTTGGTTCAGAGCCTGTACGATCTCAGGACTTCAGTATTGATCACACTCCCCTAAGGATCTCTGAGACTCCTCTCCATCTCCCTGCTCAGTTTTCTACAGCAATGCTCACGCACACTAGCGTCACCATTTTCACCTGGCACGCTCCCTCCTGGCCATCGCCCCACCTCAGATGCCCCTTAAAACCTTCACTGGCGCACACAGGGGAGGGAACAGCCCTGGCCCTCAGAGAACTCAACAGGGCTTCTCCCAGAAAATACTTGGGATCTTGTGCATTCGAGAGGCGGTGAGAACGGAGCATACTAACTCTGATGTCACCCAACTGGGTCCCAGGACATGTAACCCCTTCTTCTGTGGCCCATGTGCATGGTCACCTGCATCTCTAACACACACACAGAGCCATGTGGACAACCAGGGGTGCACTGCCTGCGCTGGGGAGACGCACAGTCTCTCCTCCCACTCTCTGTGGGGGATGCTGACCCAGCAGCTGCAGGGGCCGGACATGTGCAGCTTTTGAACATCCAAGGGAGGAGTGTTACAAAGGAGACAGACCCGATGAAAGAAAAGGTGTGCATACCGCTCTTTCGTCCTCCACGTCAGGCTGAGATAGGGACAGACAGAGATAGCACAGTCAGTTAGAAACGCACAACACTGCAGCACAGCCGGACAACAAGGAGAGACATGCACACATCATACCAAAGCCAAAAGTGAACGGGGCCCTGAACCCCCAAAGGAGGGAATGTGCAGACAGACACAGCAAAAGCCACATCACAACATGTAGAAAGAGCCCTTCCAGATACAGCAGGGGAGGAGCAAAGTGCAAGAAGGGGTGGTGCCACCTTCAAACTGCCCTAACACCAGCATCCCAGGGTCCGTGAGCACCGAGATGCACCAACTGCTAAGGCCACAGCCCATTCCCAGGAGCACTCTAGGCTCCACCGAGACATCTCACTCACTGAGCCTCTGATGCGCGACAATCCTTATCCACCTGCTTGCATAGCTCGCCCACGAGGGACTTGGCCAAGGTCAGCTGCACCCAGCACACCTGCAGGAGGGCTGCCCCTCTCAACCCTAGACTGTGAGGAGGAGCCCAGGGCACGTGGCACGCAGCCTCCTCCTTGCGTGGCTTACAAACAGAACATCCCCTTTCTTCTTTTGTGGGGCCTCAGCATGGCTGATATACAACCTCCAGCCTCACCCCAGGAAGGCCCCTCCATGCCTTGTGCGTGCTTCTAGGCTAACCGGGGAGGAAACCCCAAGCGCAATGGCTTGGAGACTATGAAGGTGGCACTTCTGCATTACAGACATTCTGGGGATGCCTACAGAGAAAGGTCTCACAGGCTGCACCCCCTTCTTCAGACAGTGCCACAGCGCCCCAGGTGGGGGCCAGATCTGGTGCTTCTAGGCACCAAGGTCCCTCGGCTTGACTACCTCTGAGCAGATCAGAGACCCTGTAGGGACTTGGGCACACTGCAACTCAAGGATCCCCATGGCCTCTGGGGGCTCACTACTTTGCACTGTGGGTGCAGGGCAAGAGGCTGCAGCCAACCCAGAGGGATCCTGGGGAGGAGGCTTGGCGATTTCATGCTGAGCACACCGCAGCTCCAGAAAGCAGCTCGCAGCGTGCAACTCAACCCCTGCAGGAGTGAAGCGCTGTGTCCAGCCTGAGCTGCCAGATGTCAGCGCAGCATGAGAGTCTAAGTTCCCCTGAACCAATGGCTTATCGAGCTGAGGCAGTTAAGGCACATCCGTTTCCTAGCCAGCAGTAGACAAGGGAGTGATGTGGCCAGCATCACGTCCGACCGCCTTTGATTGCCCTAACCTGGGTGAACTGGAGGTGGCCTTTCTGTGAGACACTGAGCGAGACTCAAACCCACGTCTTTCAGGATCGTAGTCAAGAACCTTAACCATGCAGACACCCCACCTCATGAGAGCCCAGGGCTAAAACTGCCGCCTCCTAACCCTCCCTGCCAGGATTCCAGATCCAACTGGGCCATATCCACCCCCGCTGAGAAGCTCTGTCATCACCCCTTGGCAGACTGCCGGAGAACAAGCATGAGACCAGATTCCCACGTGAGACTGTTTGAAGAGGGGGTTCCAGGCCTTCCCCACAGCAAACGTTAGCCCCATTCAGGGTGGTCTCAGCTCTTACCAATGGACTGTGGCTGCTAGGCTCTGAAGCAGCTCTGTATGACAGACTGGGCGAATGGAGAAACCGAATCTCTGCTGGCTGCATGCATGCCCAGTGGGCATGGCAACTGTTCTCACGGACAGATTCATCCGTGTGGGAGATCAGGTTAACTGATGCCCAAGCCATGCTGTGCTTTCAGGTGACACTCTACAAGGGGGCACCACAAAGGTGGGACTCTCCAACCACGGCCAATTTCCACCCTTCGCTAAGCCAGTATTAGACAGCCTACCTAATCCACGAGCCAAGCTGCCCTCGGACACTGGGAGGAGCCAGAGGCAGCTCCAGATGGTTTGCTGCAGTTCCATCCCTAGTACATGGGAAGCCACTGTCTGCACCAGCCACTTGACCGCCTGCAGTGCAGCTGTAGCCTTCTCCTGCCTCTTCTGAGCGCATTGTCCCCCAACCCGCTTCACAGCTGATCCCAGGAAACCAGCGTCCAGTGGTACTGCCCGCAATTCCCATCGCACCCTGGAGCAGAGCAGGGATGGAGACATCCCCCATCCACATATCCAGGCCTGGATGAGCTGCTGCCATCACACACTGGGAGGGCAAGGCACGTTCGAGAGGGAACAGAAATGAGCAGGTACCAACCTGAGCTCCCCCTGTAATGGGGATGGTGCATGTCAAGAGGTTTCCAATGACGTTCTCCAGCGATGCACTCAGCCCGTCCACGTAGATGGTGTAAATCAAACCCAGGCTGTTCTGGAGGAGCAAACAGAGCAGAGAGGTGTGTCCATGGCAAGAAGCAGACAAGCCACTTGAGCACAGCATGGGAGGCCGCTCATTTGAAACACAGGTACTGGCTGGGGCTCCCACGGAGCTAACCATTGCACGCCCAGCACTTGCTCATGCAGACTGCGTGTCCAGGCCCAGCCAGGGCTTGGAGCCTGTCTGCTGCAAACGCTTCAGAGTGACATTCGCAATCCTTGTCGCCAACAAGGGATTGTGTATTTATTGCACACAGTTCTGTACAAATCAGTGAGACAATCCCTGTCCAGGGGTGCAATCTCAGGCACAGACAGCAGGACAGGCCACAGCTTGACGCTACTGGTTTCCCAGTGGCACACCGCTGACCTCCAGCACCACCAACAGTGCACTTCAATCTGCAGCTCTGCTTCAGTCAGCACTGGGGGAGAAGAAAATCCAAGCGTCATCCAGGCGGAGGACAGCCCTAGTGCCAGAGTTCCAGAGCCCCTGCACCTAGCCCGACCACTCTGCAGGTTTGCATCAAAAGTCTCATCAAAAGACAGCACTGTCTAGTGGTCAGAGCTGTGGGCGGTTCTAACTTTCAGGAGATGCATCTGGGACCCAACGCACATCTATCTTCAGCTAAGACTCTTGGTTTAGTTAGTGCATGAGCAGCCTGACCCACTCAGGACAGGAGCGAATGTCCCAGCCCAGCATGAGGCTAACTCACTGGGATGGACAGATCTAGACTACATGCTGTGATAAGACCTCGCAACTACTACCTAACCAAAGTGGAGAGTGAGCAAGGGCAGCGTGAGGGAGAACTGGCTTGTGCTGTGAAAGCAATAGGCTCCACGGGACACTTACACCATCCTAGGTGCATTTCCTTGGTCATCAGACCCTAACCAAAGGGGGAAACTGATGTAAGCCCAAGCCCCAACAGGGGAAGAGTCAGGCGCTCTCGCTGTTTATCTGCTCCCAGGAATTAATAAGCCAGAGAGTTCAAGTGACTGAGCATTATCATCACATAGCCAAATGAACCGTGCAAACACTGCTCATGTTCCCAACAAAAACAGCCCAGGCGTATGGAGGGAAGCCCTGGCCAGACGGCAGGGCAGTCAGGTGTGCTGAGGCTGAGAAGTGCTCAAGCTGCCTCAGTGCAGCCTCCAGTGAGGCCCCCAGAATTCGCTCCACACGCCGCACAGGCAATGGCACTGTGTGACCTTAGCTGCTCTTCAATTCCATTTGGTTATTTACCACCCGAAGATGGGCACCACAGGACCCTTCCCCCGCCACCTGGGGCTGGGAGCTTCCTTTCCACAGCCCTTCCCATCCCTGCTGGGTCAGGGGGCGACCCTCAAATTCCAATCTCCAGCCCAAGCTGCTCCCTGACCCCCCGGCCTATCACGGCTACAGTAAGGTCAAGTCTCTGTTCCACACTTCTACCAGCAGGTCTTGTGCACTGCAAGAGAATGACATTTCATGTCCCTTGCATTTTTTCAGGACCCTTCAATAGGGATTCACCTTGCCAAAATCTGAATGATCCCAGGAAACACTATGCAAGTCCTAAGCAGCACCATCCCAGAGACTCCACCAGCTGGATAAAGCATTAACTTCAGAGTCCCAGCTGGTCACGTGAGCAGTGCCTACATCCTCAAATAGTTTCTTCTGTGTCCTTTCACACTCTAAGGAGAACGTCTGTCACACAACACCCCTGAAAGGCTGCAGCCCAGCATAAGGGGACAAAGGACTGGAACAGATGCTGTTGACAAGTTCCCTGCATGGGGAGATACACTCGAGGTACCATCTCCTGCATCGATCTCTGCCTAGCTTTTATGCTGGGCTCACCAAGTTACCTGATTACCCAGATGTCTTGTTCACAGGAAGGTTACAATGCCCTGCCCCACACAAAGAACTCTCCCAGCAAGGCAAGCGCTCACCCCTGGGACCAATACCTGCAGAGGGACAGGGCCATTGTAGCCTGGGGTTCCCTGACTGGCTAATGGTGATCTCAGCCTCCCACCTAGAGGAATCAGGAAAAACAAAGAGCCCTGGAGAACTTGACACTTAGAGAACATCTGCTCTGGAGCACGAAAGACATTGCAGACTCTGTCTCTGTGGCTTCTTGCTCAGGTCTGCCGGTTTCTCATCCTGGCAGCTGTTCAGACAGCTCTGCCAGCTAAGCCCCCAAGGTGCTTCCCCCTTTGGGACATGCAGCGCAGCACACCATTCTTACTGTTCAGAAAACTCCAAGCTGCTGTGCCACTCAGGAACCCTGGACATCGCCATCGCCATCGCCAAGGGAGGGCCCAACCAGTAAAATAGGGAATGCATTTCTGGACAGGTACAGCACCAAGACAGCAGGTCAGAGGAAGGGCTAATTGGACCAACCCCAGAAATGTTATAACCCCCACAAAAACCACAGTAGGTCTTACTGCTATCGGGTGGGACAGACCCACTGACCTGGGGAATGACAGCAGCCAATCCAAGCACACAGCTCAAACTGCAGCCACCATGCTAAGGCATCATGCCAGGATGACCGAAGTGTGGCAGGTCTCTGGTTTGAGGAGACCGCATGTCCCAGTATGCAATGCTCTATTTCAGTCTAAGCACCTGGCTACACCAGGTACCAGGGCTGGCAGTCTCCATAGATGAACCTTCCCACTGAAGATGAGAACAGTCACTAGTCTCTCGGCCATTTACCAATGTGTCTCGAGGGGGCATACTGACAGACTGCATGTGAGCACCGCTTCACAGCCAGCACACCCACGGTCCCCCTCTCACAGTACAAGGGCAAGGCTCTGTTGACTTCAACATGCTCGTTGCATTTGGACGAAGAGCTGAAGAAGAGAATGGCAAGAGGGGTCAGACAGTCCATCCAGCCACAAGGATGCCGCGCCTGCCTTGGCAAGCGAGGTGCTGCTGACACTTAGATCACACCCACCCAAGCTGAGTTTTGCAAACAAGCCAGGCTGTAACTTGCACCTTTCCAAGCCTTTTACAGCCTCATAACAGAGCAAGCATGAAGAATATAAAGATGGGAAATAAAGACTCCACCAGGAACATTTTGTGCTTAGCATTTTACTGAGAGGCAGGGCAAGGCTGCCAGCTGCCCAGCCCAGGCAGGTCCTCACCTTGCAGCTCCACAGCCTGACAGCTTGGGGAAGGATCGGAATAAGCCACACACATGGCCCTGAGTAACTGCTGGACATGAGCAGAAGGTCAGAGCAGGCACCATAGCAGTAAATCCCGCAGGGCGCTGCTGCTACTGGTGCTCTCTCTTATATGCCCCAATTCTCAGAAGCAGAAGAGTTGGCTGACGGTGGTTCCGAGGGCCAAGGAATTAAGGCCAGGGAAAGTCCCCAGAGAATCCAGACACCACCCTCTCCTCCCCAAATGCAGCACTGCACCTTCCCTTACCCGGAAAACCTCAGTATGGTCCAGTCGTGACACTAGCACCAAACTCTTCGGGGCAAAGAGCTGCGCAGGCTGGACGAGGGATGACGACTCCTCTTCCTCCTCCTCACCATTCCTTGAGTGGCTCTGAGACTGGGGAGAGAGACAGATCAGACACACTGCAGGGACTTGAGAGGGGATAGACACCCCCCGCCCCACCACCACCACAGACAGCTACACCACCGTGTGAGGCAAGTACTACAGGAGATTGCGGCCCTCCTCTGACAAAGGAGTGCTGGGTACAACCAACCTGGGCAATGGGCAACCACAATTCTCATAAGGAGCTTTCACTCACAGCTGCTTACCCAGCAACACCCCCTGCCCCCAACACTTTCACAGGCAGCATGCTCCCCCTCCCCCCACAGGGAGCATTACCTGGGCACTCTCGACAGCCTCCCAGAAAGTGAAGCAGGCGCAGTAATGCCGCTCGGAGCTGATGTCCGTCAGCACAGCAACGAAGAAGGAGGGGGGATTCCGCTCGGTGAAGAGCTGCCAACCGCTCGGCTGACAAAACTGCAAGAGGCGAAGGTGAGAACACACTGGTCAGCTGGAGGCGACTTGTCCAGCCTGTTCGGGGGCAGGTGGATGCAGGCTGACCCATTTGCTCTTCCCCCAGTCCCTCCTCCCCCCACACACACACACACATCACTTATGCAGCATGTCGAGAGCTCCTGGAGGGGCTGTACATGAAGGGACGAAGCTCCTCAGGGCAGGCAGCTTGGCTTCTTACCTAACATGCCAAGTACTTGGTGGGATTCAGACAGACAAGCGTGGCTCAGTTAGAGTTGCCAGCGGGGAGCAGTGGCCAGCATTCATGACAGAGCCCCTTTCCATATACACACAGAGCACCGAGCAGCATAACCATCTTCCAAAAAACATGAAGAAACCCACCCCGGAGAAGCCCTCAGGGCAACTGTTAGAAGGCAGGCAACAGAAGAGGACGCCCAGGATAACAGGCTGAGCAAAAGCACCTGTTCCCATTCAGGCCAAGGGGCCTCCCCTACTGTCTCAGAAAAGCTGCACGATCTCACTTGGCCAGACTGGCAGAAGAGAGCTGTGCCGAGAGCCTGACATCTAGGAGGCGGGGCTGCCTTTCACAGGCACACGGGTTTGCCCTGAGCTGAACCTGGCTGTGGAGTCTAAACTAAAGCAGACTCTCTCCCTCCTCTAGGAGAGTCAGTTGGATCCATTTAATCAGTGTCCTGGGCAGCTGCATGCGGACGAGCTGCACTGCAAGTTCCTGGGGGTGGGGCCTGTTACCTATTTGGCATATACCGTACAGGCTGCACAACACACTGATAAATGAATAGTGGATCCAATAGAGGGCACTCCTCCCTCTGAATCAGCATCCCAGCCTGGTGCTGCTTGAAATGCCGCATTTCAGATGAGGTTGTGAGCTCGGAGATCCCAGGGGACTTGCCACAAGAGTTACCCCTGGGGTCCCAGCCCAACTCCAAGGGGGGGGGGGGAATTCCAGCCTTCTGGCTGAGAATTCCCCATGCGGTTTTCATTGATATAGGGCTTTTCTCACTTCCTCCCCTAAACAACGGTGTAGTGTTGCTGTGCGCTGTCCAGTTACCACAGCTTGTGGGGACTTTTTAAAAACTATGTTCCACTGAATGTGGAACAGAGCAGCTTAGCACCACCCACTCCTTCCAGCCACCATCACCCCTTCTGCCAGAGACCAGGGAAAATAATAGGCTGATGCTGAGAGATGGCAAGCTCCCGGTAAAACGATGTGGATTCCTGTTCCAGACCAAAGCCGGCTGACCTGATCAACAGGGAGGTTCAATCAGGAGGCTACTGGATCACCAGGGCTAGAGAAATTTGGTCAGCCCTGAAGCACTCCCTAGTCTATACCCTCTCCAAAGCTACCAGCCCTGTTTATCCACCTCTTCCCCCCAGGTATTTTTAAGGCACCCATCACAGTGGTACATAGGTGACGACTGCAATGGGCATCAAACACATTTCCAGGTGTCCAGATATTACAGTGATGAGGGCACGAGGGACAGAAACTCTGCAGAGTT